AAATGACTGTAATTCAGACTTATTATTTGGCGCTCTCATGTTTACTATCTTGTCTATATTTTTCGCCATCGGAGTAATTACGTTTCCCTTTATAAAATGTCCTAAGTACTTTATTTCTCTTACTTCGAAAACGCTTCTCTTCATATTAGCTTTTAAACCATTCTCTAATATTATATCTAACACCTTAACTAATCTAGCATTATGTTCTTCTTCGGTTCTACCTGATATTAAAACATCATCTAAATAATACATAATTCCCTTTAACCCTTGAAATAAAGAAGTCATTGTTCTCTGAAATATCGCAGCCGAAACTTTCAAACCAAATGGTAGGCGACAAAATGCAAATAATCCTCTATGCGTCGTAATTGTCAACATCTTACTCGTGTTTTCGTTCACTTTAATTTGTAAATAAGCGTTAGAAAAATCAATCTTCGAAAAAAATGTTGATCCTTCTAGATTTGCTAATAATTGTTCTATCCTCGGTAATGGATAACTAACCGTGCTAATCCATGCATTTAACGAAACTCTATAATCTATGCATAACCTTAAACTATTATCTGCCTTTCTAATGGGGACTAACGGTGTCGCCCACTCGCTATGCACTATAGGTCGTATTATGCCTTCCTCTAACTATTTATTCAATTCCTTATCGACTTCTTTTAACCAAGAAAAAGGCAATCTCCTTGCTCCACAAAATTTAGGCTGGTAATTCTCTAATAATTTTATATTTACTTCAACATCTTTTAGTGTCCCTAGCTCTTCTTTAAAAACTTCCAAGTATTGATCTACAATCATACTTATTTCATGGCTGTATTTATTTTCGATAATCTCTTCCTGTTCTACTGTCTTCTTAATTATCTGTTTGTTGATTTCGACGGGTGTTACCTCTAAAGAATTTATATCTCTTGAAATTTTATTCTCTTTATCTCTATATTTAATCAAAAACTCTGGTGTTCGATTTCTAAGTTTATCGAGAACTAATTCTTGTTTATCTTCTATCATAGGTAACTTAAATCTATCGAAATCACTCCTTATTATTTCACTATTTTCATCATTACCTACAGGGATAGTTTCGAAAAAATTCCACCAATTATAAATTGGACCTAACGTTCTTATATCACACCAACCTAAAATTGGTTCAATTTTCAACGTAGTTATCCACAAATTTATACTTTTATTAACTCCTGGTAACCTTACCCTATAATACCCTAAAATTTTCACCACGCTACCATCCAATTGTTTGGCTCTTATTTTCTTTGTAACAAATTCTTTCTCTGGCCAAAATCTCATAAAATCCTTAATACTTATCAAACTAATTTCTGCTCCTGTATCTAATAAAAAACAAATTTCTGCTTCATCCATATTTATCTTTACTCTCGGGCATCTATTCTTCATTAAAAAATTCTCTAATTCCATTTGTACATCTAAACAAGTTGCATTTTTAATTCTATATATTTCAAAATCTCTACTTTTTATTTCTATATCACCTCTATTAATATCGCTTGAATTATAATTATCGATGTTAAAACACTTTTTATTATCACAAAATTTATCGTTCTTATTACAATAATTATCTTACTTGCACTATCAACATTATCCAAATTATCATTATTAAAATTAAAATACTTATTTTTACTACAATTATTAACATTAAAGAAATTATTATAATTATCGAATCTATCATTAAAATTAAAATGCTTATTCTTACCTGAACTAAAATTAGAAAAACCATTATTACCAAATTTATTATTAAAATTAAAATATTTATTCTTATTTGCTACTAAATTATTAACATTAAAAAAATTATTATTATTACAAAATTCATTATTAAAATATTTTTTTCTTAGTCATTTGTTACATTTCTCTTGAGTGTGTCCATCCTGGCCACAAATATTGCACCTTAAAATCAAATTGTTTATTCTGCATCTTATAGCTACATGGTCATTTTTGCCACATCTCGCGCATCTCAAATCCTTTGTTAAATCACAATCACGCGACATATGGCCTGGCTGACCACAGCTATAGCAACTAATTCGTCTGAAAATCTCTGTACTTCTAGAAATGTTTATGTTTCCCTCCTTATTTTCCTCATTTAATATATTTTTTATCTTATCTAATTCCATATTTTCTATTTTTATGTACGATGTATTTCTACCTAAAATTAAACCTAATAAAAATGCTAAAACTATTACCGAAAATATTATTACCATTATATTATCCAACAATAAATTCCTTAAAATAATTTGACTTATATACATTACAAAGAATTCAAAATCATTTTAATCACAAATAACTTAATGCTGCGGCCAAAATTATACAACAATGTAATTAATATTATGATTAAAATCAAGGCATAAATTGGCATTACAAATAAAAGAACAGAATATATATATATATATATATATTTTTTTTTTACCTTAAATACGCTGATATATACAAAGAATTGACTTGTAATCACAATTTACTTCTTCTAAATTTTATTGTATCGTCTATCTGCTAGACTGAAAATCTGAGGTCCCTAAGTATTTCTACTCTTCGGACCAATGTCGTGTTTGGAAGTTTTAGTATAAATAATTGTTAGATAAATATATTCAATATAAATCTAATAATACCTTTTAAAGATATCACTTCTAAGGATATGACTTTAATATTTCCAAATACAAATCCAAAATGAAAATCGAATCAAAAAATTTATAAAAATTACGAGTTTATATATAAAAAAAATGATATGCAAAAAAAAAACATTTTATATGCAAAATTACAATTATCTATAGTATTAATTCGTACATTTAAGTTCAAAAAAATTGTTTATGCAAAATTTAAAATAAACAATAATATTCTTCGTACATTCTAGTTCATTAAGGATAACTTTAATATTCATCTTTCATTTAAATATTCAAATCATATCATAAAAAAAATACACTTTTTTTAATAACTTTAACAGGCCATTAGCTTTTTACAAAATGGGGTGCTAAAAGGAGTTAATTTATTTGTGATAAATGAATTTAAATTTATTTACTATATTTAATAAATGACTTTCTGGTAGACTTCGCATACCATATCCTCTTTGAAGGGGCTTCCACCCTCTTTTTCTTTGCCGGTTTTATGCCATTAAATTTATATATTTTCCTATTATTAATTATAATATACAGGTATTCGCTAATCAAAATATGTGCACAAATGTAACCATACCCAAATGCTTTAGTTTCATATCTCATAGCCAATAAAAAATTCTAAATTAACCCCAATTACCAAAAATAATTAGAAAAATAATCTAAAAAAGTTAGTCCTTATTTTGTTCAGAATTGAAATGGACTAATTAAAAAATTAAAATTAAACTAATTGGATATTATGGAAAACTTTTTTGGATACTCAAAAATCAGCAAAAAAATGAATAAATTAACTTAACATTCTATATATGTATTTAATGATGGGTATGAACATTTAATAAAAATAAAAATTAATAAAATAATTAGATTATAAACCTGTTTTTTATAAAATAGAATATCTTTTGATATTTCTCAATTTTGCTTTTGAGTAAGCGAATGAAAAAAAATTACAATAAAATTGAAAGAATCTAAATAATATTAAAATTAAATCATTAATTTTAAGTAAGGTTAATATATTGTTTTTAAAAAAATATAGGGCATAATGTATATAAAAAAAGGTTGAAAAAAGAAAACTTTAAAATCAAAAGCCAAGTTTTAAAAAAAATAATAGGAAATACATATTGTTAACTTTATTATTAATGAACAAAATAGAGGAGGGAAGTCAAATAAATATTTGTAATTCCCTTTTAGGATTTCAATTTGAGTGATGCTATTTTTTTCCCAGTCCTTATTGAAATTGATTGAAAAATATTAGGCATTGGAGACCGGGGTTCCCCAAAACATTAAAGATTAAAGAAATAAAAATATTAAAAAGGGGCCTATATTTATTGCATTTTAAAATTTACTGAAGTTTCAAGAGGTCAGAATTTCTAATAGAGGGAAATGAGATAACCCAAGATATATCCCAGACAAGGGTTAAATACGTGCCATGGGAACGCTTACCTTCCTCATTTAGAAGTAGTGTTGTTATAAAGTCCGATTTGGCTCGATTTTCAAAACGGCCTAATTAAAATTTTTGCCAAAATAATATTGTGTAAGGCTCAAGATTTGGCAAGTCAAATCTCAAACTTTTCTGCCATCTATGAATAAAATTACCAGGCTTACACAATCGGGCCGAAAAAGTCAACCCGAATCGGGCTTTTTAACAACACTATTTAAAACCTAAAGCTTCCAAACTATTGGAAAAACTGGCTGAAATTAAATAATTTTCGATCAACCTATTTAGATTGTCAACCGCAAAAGGCGGTCGCTATAAAAATGGATTAGCTTGCTTAATTCAGGTAGATAATGTCAACAGATAGAATAAGACTATTTCCAATGATTTGGAACCCATTGTTCGTGAGTAACATCTCCTTTTTCCTATTTGGGATCGTGTCTAGCCATTCATGGCCGTTAGAATTTTTTTTGTGTTTATAAAATTAATTTTAAATAAGGTTAATATGTTATGTCAAAAATATAAGCCATTTAAGTATATTAAACAAATTATTAAATGAACTTAATTTTTAAAAATTTATTCATAAAGTTTTGAACGACGTGAATGCGTTTATGGACGTGAACGCTTTCCTTTTTTTTTGAAGGTGAACGTTGAACGTACTCGTTTGATATTTTTAGAAATGTTCATAGCACGAGTTTAATATAAAAGAATTTAGAGGGGGAGGGAGTCAATTTAATTTTCTTCCATATAAAGGGGTCTGTTTTTTAGGGCATTTATTTATTATTCATTATTTTTTTTTCATATTATTTTTATTTATAATTTTGAGGTGGAGGAGGGATGTTGGTATTATACCTCTCTTCTTTTTTAAAATAATTTAAAAATATTATTTAACTATTAACAGTCAAATGGCAATTCTTTACTTATGCACAAATAATTGTAAAATATTATTTATACTACAACTATCTTTATTTAATTAGTGGAATTAAAATTTCTTATAAACATGTCTGTAAGTTTTTTAAAAATTTTATTGTGTTGTATTGTATATTTAGAAAGACGAAACATTTAATCCGAAAGCTTATCCATTAGCAGATCCTGTGTTAAATAAATCGATTCTAGATTTAGTTGTACAATCCTCTAATTATAAGCAGTTGAAAAAAGGAGCAAATGAAGGTTAGATATTTTTTATTTATAAATAGATAACACAATTTTAGCCACAAAAACTTTGAACAGGGGATTATCGGAGTTGATTATTATGGCAGCTGATGCTGAGCCATTGGAGATCTTATTACATTTACCCTTACTTTGTGAAGATAAAGTGAAATGATAAAATTCTTTATTCAATATTATGTATAATTTTAGAATGTACCTTATATATTTGTTCGTTCAAAGGAGGGTAAAATTAGTTTTTAAATTTTATACTATATTCAAATTAGCACTTGGTAGAGCATGTGGAGTGTATAGACCTGTTAGTGCCTGCTCTATTATATCTAATGAAGGCTCAGAAATCCAACAACAAATACATAGTGTTAGGCAAAACATTGAAAGATTGATGATATGAATTCTATACCTTATACATGTACATATAAATCATGTTTATATTGTAAATTCTAGATTTAATTGACATTTAATAAAATTAACTACTTTATGTTTATATTATGAGGATTATTGCTGTAAGCATTTTATAAAAAACAAATTTGTTTGTGTTCATTCATTTGTATAACTAATTCATGAATGCATTTACTTATATTTATATTTTAAGCTATATTTTTTTAATACATTTGGTGTTATAGACAGCTTCCTCCCCAATGCAACTTTTTGAAAAAGATGAATTTTTTGGCAAATGAATACCTAAACCCATTTTCAGTCCTTTTTAACATATTGTAAATGAAAATAAATTGATATTGCTATTAGCTAAAACAATCACCCTAAATAAAAAAAATATGCTACATAGGATTGTAAATGTGATAATAACATTTCCAGACATAATGAATGTTTAGTTTAAAATGAAAACAAGAAATTGAAATTTTATCTCAAATGAATTTATCAACAATTCTTCAGAATTTTTTAACCTTAAAAGCAAAAAATGGTATCTAGAAGAAAATAGAAAATAAAGACATATCATAAATTAAAATATCATCCTCTTTCTTTTCTATTCCTCTTTTTTAAACCAAGAAAAATATTTAACCTTGAATTCATTTTAAAAAAATTTTTTTTTTATCCATCCCGCTGTTATGTTCTACTCAATTAATCAATAATACGTAATTAAATTTTCAAATTTATCTTTAAAAAAAATTTTCTTAGCATCTTCCTTTATCTTAATTATATTCTTTCCTTGCATAATATTTATCGCCAATCTTAATTTCTTGAATATTTTTCCTATTTAGAACCAACTCATTTTTTAAAATTATTTTATTCTTTGACTTGTTATTTTAACCCATTAGTATTTGCCTCGCTCCTTGTTTTATAATCTCTTGTGAACTCAATCGCTTTGTTATTTTGAAAATGTTTTAGCTTTGCCACACAGCTACATATTAAAATATATTTTCCAGCACTTGGCATTTTCTCTTTTTTTTATTTATATTCAACACTATTTTATTTCGCAATATTATTTTACACTTTCGCCGTAGCGCATTATTATACCGTTCTCTTTATTCACCACCACACTATCTTTGAAATTTCTAAATATTTGTCTTGCACGATGATTTTCATTATTTTATATTCATCACACAAAAAGGTACAACGCTCATTTCTAAATCGAAACGAATAATTCCACTCTCATTTCATCCCTCGTCATTGATTTTACATTTATATATTTCTCTTTTCTCTATTAATATAAATCTCTCCCACAATTGTATTTTACTTTCGCTTTCAACTATTTCGTTCTCTCCAATTTAATTCAATAACATTTGTACACTTTATTTTCAATAATTAATATGTATTGAATAACTCAAAAATACACAAATTACATATTTTTTTAAAAACAAATAAGCACCACATTTTATCAATACCTTCACAACAATAAACTACACTAACTTTCCCATATCTCTAGGTAGCATTCACCGCTTTAAATATAATTTATTAATGCAACACTATGACATTCCCTGTAAATTTGGTCACGGCACCATTATGATAATTATACACTATAAAAAAACTAACCGTTATTGTGAATATGCTATTAAAAACTTTACCAGTAGTACAACGGCAATTTATAACTCACATAATTAACCAATTATTTTACTTATATACAATATAAAAAAACCTACCAGTACAATTCAATATAACCCTTCAATACTCCAGTGAAAAAAATGACTTTAGTACTTGGATGGGGTTTAATAGACCCCAATTTCAAATGTATATATCTCCAGTAATATTCATTATTTGATATTTGGATATAAGATAGATCTAACCTTATTTCTTAAGCCCTAGATTTAAGATGATGAGGATAATTATAATTTGTGCCAAAAAAAATTTAAAAAGCTTACTTTTTTAAAATTTCAAATGTAAAATTAAAAAAATAACTTATCCCATCATGATAATTCATAATGTATATTAATTGCTTAAGCTACATTTAAATTTCATAACCAATTATATATTTTTTAAACTATTTATTAATCTTAATATATATTTTCAATGCAGTAGCGTCACTAAAGAGAGGAGGAGGCACGAGAAGCTCGAGTCCCCTAAAAAATTTGAATAGCCCCCTAAAGAAAATTTTTTTTTAATGGCTCACTAATATCCCCCTAAAAATTTTGCTAGCCACCTGAACAATTTCTTTTAGAATTCTATTACGTATTATATTATTTATAGATTTAATTTTATTAATTAATAAGACTATATCTAATTTTTTATTAAATGAGTTCTATTTTAATTATTAGATTATATAATACATATAAATTATATTTTCACTATGTCAACAATCGCAATCAAATACTGTGTTAAAAATGTAATGAATATCAATATCACTCATAATGTCTAAATATTAATCTAGAATTAACAGTTGAAGCTGTCATATTATTATTTAAAATTATTTATTTTTAAAAATTATTGTTTAATATTTTTCAAATTTATAAATAGTCGCCTGATTTTATATATCACGTATAGAACTCGTGATCTCTTTGTCCCAAAAAAGTATAAAAGGGATTAGATTTTATAATTATTATGACTTTTTGTTTTTTTTAAATATATTTAATCAATAAAATTTGGAGTTGAAAATTTATTAATTTTAGTTTTAGAGTTGTGTTGGTTAATTATGTTAAAGTTATTAACCCTTCAATACTCTGGTGGGGTATATGAAACCCCAGGCATGCAAATGATATTACATAAAAGCGGTTAAATATTATGATCTGGATTTTTCAGTAGCTTCATCAAATATATCCTAGAATCTATATTCCAAATTTCATATATTTCGGTTGAGTAGTTTATGTTCTATATTTTTTTTATATTTGAATGTATTAGTATAATTTTTTTTTATATTGAAGAATAAAGATACAAATATTTGGCAGTAATAGAAGCATTTTTATTCGTCCACCTACCAATAGTTTTCAACTATACCATCAGGTGCTTCAGAAAAGGCAGTAAACTATTCTTAATGTTAAAATATTTGGAGTATATTAGTTTAGTATTAAATAATTTATATAAATTAATAATGATATTCCAGAAATATAAATATCAGAATTATTTTATTCATATTAAGAAACTTAATGTTAAAATATTATTTTATGACAATATATTGATGGAGATATCTCTAATGAAAAATTGCAAAATTCCTTAATCATGATACTGCCGAGTGTAAAGAGTAAATGATTGTTAAATTTAAAGTCCATGCATATTAAAGAATCTTAGATATATGAAACGATTCTAGATCTATCCATAATAACATGAAAAAAGGAATCATTGAGAGTTGGGTGAAATCTCTTCAAATAAAAATGAAGAAATGAAGATTTATGCAAAAATTTATGTTTATATATTCATTATTTTTAAATAGAATATAAACAAAGAATTTTAATATATTTGTTATAAAAAAAATTGATTATATAATATGTGAAAATTATATCATATAAAACTCTACTAGTACAATGCTATTTATAACACACAATTCACCAATACAACTCTAAAACTAAAATTAATATACTTTCAACTGTTAATTTTATTGGCCAACAAAATATATATCTAAAAAAACGTAAAAAACAAAAAAATTATTATAATCTCATGCCCAAGAGCGATCTACACATGATATATAAAATCAGGCGACTATTTATAAATGCGATAAATATTTAACAAAATAATTAAGAAAAAGAAAAATATTTTACGCGAATACATGAGTAAGTAAAGCAATATTAATTTCATATAATAATATTACATGCCCTCTATAAATGACCTCATTCGACATCCATATTATTCACCCAGTTGTAACTTCAGAATATAAATACTTTTAAAAATCTAATTTATCATGGTTTCACTCGATCGTATCAAATAATCAGTTTTCCATAGATTTAAAAACTTTATCACTCTTTATAATTATCATTAATTCCCACTTATTCTATTATCAATAAATTAAAATTTTCAAATATTTTTTTTAACTACATTACCCCATTCGATTTTTTCTCTGAATAATATAGAATTCAATAATATTTAACATGAACCAATATATTAGTTTATCTTCCTTCCAATATCTTTGATTGTATAGTGGTTTCAATTTCAAAATCCCAATAATTTTGCTGAAATAGGTGTTAGCTGCATTGCTTATGATCATATTAGTTATCCTGACCCAACCTTTAATTTGCCTCCGTAATCTACCGAACATTGTTATCTGGACTCAACGATAACGATTCGTCGCCATAGTCCTTATTAAATTCATTTTTCTCATAATCTCAATTTTCGCGAGTCGATAATCTTTACTCATTATTACAATCAATTCTAGATTTTCTTTCAAAAACACTTTTCGGCCATTTTTCTTTGTTATATAAAAAAACATTGTAGATGAATGATGATTTTTATCCCATGACGATCAACTCTCTTTCCATTCTACTTACCGCATTGATACATTATCTAAGCGCAATATATAACACTTTTACAAAAATTTTAAACACCTCTTTTGAATCTCTCTCCTTTTAAATTTCAACCAACATATTTGTGCCTATGCTTTCCCCAAATTTGACCCCCACATATACATATTTGTGTCAACTCCTTCCCAGTACTAAATATTTTAATCACAATATATTACACTTTTACAAAATTAACACCTCTTTTGCATCTCTCTCCTTTTAAATTTCACCAACATATTTTTGTCTACGTTTTTCCAACTGAGTTCCTGGATTCTCCCCAATGAATCTCCCGATTACTTCCCAATGAGTCCCCTTATTACTCCCTAATGAGGCCGCTCGATTACTCCCCAATGAGCTCCCCCACCCTCCCCAAATATTTCTTCCCTATGATTCTCCCCGCTGAAAACTTCTACATATTGGTTAACTAACTTATTTAAATATAAAAAAATAAATAATTCAACTTCTTATATATAAATTTCTACAAAATAGTCAATATATGTCATATCTCTTTTTTTATAGGATAATATTTTACGATAATTTAATAGTCCATAAATCAATTAAATTTCCTTTTCTAACATTTCGAAAATCTAAATATTTTAATTCGTTAACTCATTT